CCCGAGTCCGCGATCTCTCTCTCTCTCTCTCTCTCTCTCTCTTTCTCTCTATTTCTCTCTTTCTCCCTCTGGGTTGCACCGTTCTGCTACACGGACGTTTTTTTTACACGCGCGCTCCATACCGAGACGTGTGACGGCCACGTCTTTTCGACAACAGCACTTCGGAATCAACGGTCGTTTAGACGGAAAAATGACATCGACCGAGGTCCACCGCTCCATACTCCCAATTTCTGGGTTCCGTCCAAATGACGGTACGATTTTTTTTGTTGATTTCTATACTTTTACCACGAAAAAAATCCACCAAAATAATCCAAACACTTGATTCAGTACAGGGGGTCTATTCTCAAACGTATCGAACCACGCTTTCGATCAATAGTTGATCGAAAACAACTTTGATTTCGATTGATAACAAAAATACTATTCTCAAACCGCTTTCGATCATTAGTTCGATAGGAATATTCGACAATATACAACGATAGTGAATTTGGTGTCGAAAACTGTTTTCGACACACAATTTTCACTGTAATCAACTAATTTATCAGTTTTTTCAATTTATTGTTCGTACTTGTATCGTATTTAGTACTATAATCTATAATTAATAATTAAAAGAGTATAGTTCGCGAACGAGAATGAATGTTTAAATATTTATCATGGCATTTGATGACGATTTTGAGATTTACAATATAATGCAAATTAATGAATTAGAAATTCAAAACGAAATTAATATTACTAATGAAGTAAGACGAGTTATGAAACAAGAAGATCCTTTTGGTAAGTTTTTATTTTATATATATATATATTTAGTTATAAACAAATATATAATTGCTTTCCAAAAATTATCGATCATTATATACATTTAATTTTTTAGCACTCTCTGAACAACAGTTTATTGGTACTTATCGTTTAAGTAAGGTGCTTGTACAAAAGTTAACGGATGAGTTAAGTCCTTTCATGTCAAGTCCGTCAACAATGGATGGAAAGTAATTATGTAAAGTAATTTATATAGAAATATTATTTTTTGGATCCATGACCTTGAATTTTGTTTGTGATTTATTGAAAACAGATTTTAATACTTAAACAAAAAATTTCAAAGTGTCTTCTGAACTACTTTTTTTTTTTTTTATAGCCAATATTTTATTTATAACATTTTTAAAAAAATTGAATATTACCTAGGTAATTTAAAAATATAAATTGTTTATGAAAATGTTATGTTAGTATTAACTTTGAAACTAGTAATTGGTTTAATATTTTTTATACTAATTTCAGTAATTATATTTTGACTCAATAATGTCGGGGTATAATAATTATGAAAATTGGCCTCAAGAATCAACTTCAAATACAGACGAAGAAGAATTGTCGTCTCCTGAAATTGAACAGGATGATAGTGACGACGATTCTGAAACATCAACATCTATGACGAGTACATCTGCATCCAGTAGTAGTGGTAGTAGTCAGTCAGGCTCTGATTCTGAAAGTACTAGTACTGCAGATGAAGACGAAACTATATCACTCAAAACTGAAACTGTAGTGGCTAATAAAACTGAGCTTAGTTTACCTGTTGGAATGTGCGAAGATGAAGAAGTTTTCAAGCAACTTTTTTCTGTTAATTCTTGGGTATGCTTAAGTGACCAACAAAAGCAACATTTAAAGGTATAATTGTGTAACAGAAACTCACCTTTATACAAATAAAACTTATAAAAAATGAAATTAAGTGTAAAACATACTAACATTTTTTTTTTTTTTTTTTTTTGTAGAATTTTCTTCCAACTTTTCCTGAAAATGATTTAATGGAAAAAGAAATCACTTTAAGAATGCTTTTTGGTGGTCAAAGTTTTCGATTTGGAGTTAATCCAATTGATGATTTTCATGACAAATTAAAAAATGGATATTATCGTCCTGATATTGTTAAAATGAAATCTTTGTTAAGACGTACTCTCAAACAAAAATATAGGTATGGATTATTTAAAGAAATATTTTTTAATTTCTGTTAATGTACTTAATTAGTGTTATTAATTGATGTTCCAGAAAAAATCAACGTATTAACCGTTTTAATACATTAAAAAAATTACTCTCTGAAGGAATAGATTTGTCTAAAATTGCTTTGCCTATGAGTAATCATTTTGATCCAACTGAAGATATGTATAGAGAAATGTTGTTATCTTATAAGATAAAACAGAAGAAAATTGAACAAGTATATTTTTTAAAACAATTTAATATTTATGACAGGTATAATATTTTTACTTATTTTTTTTTTTTTTTTTTTTAAGGAAAAAGAACAAATAAGACTTGACCTAATGAAAGAACAGATAAAACCAGCTGTTTCATTGGGAAATGAGAAAAAGAGGTCAGCAACTAGCGATCGGTCTCGAGTGAAACGAACAAAGGTTAGTAAACAATCAGCACAATCATCTTCATCTTCATCTTCACAATTAGATGTAAAATTTCCTGTGTAGTTGGATGGATTTGATAATATTACAGTAAAATAAGAATCAGTTGAATCAGAACCAATTAGTATTCCATTGATTAAAAAAGAAGTATTTCATGAGCCATCTCCAACTACACCAACATCACCACCACCACCGCCACCACCACCACCACCACCACCAATATCACCATCATTACCATCACCACCACCTTCAACACCTATACTTGATTTGATTCAAGAAGAATCAATTAAAACCAATTTAGATGCCATAAAATTAGAACCAAAATTAATTATAACTGATATTGTTTAGACGGAAGAAGAAATAGTACAAGAGAGGCAAATTGAAGTTGAACCTATCAGTTTAACGGCTGATGAAATACTTATGGCAGAAGAAGGTCAGGCTGCTGCAGCGATGTTGTTAGAGATAATGAGTGATGTGGAAGAGAAGTATAATAATTCACCATAAATATTGTCATCACCTTCATCTACACCTCCACCATCTGAAAACAATTTAGAGTCCAAGTACAGTCCACCTACTTATCACAATAGTTATAATATAAAATATTATATTAATAACTTATTAATTTATAATTTAGTACGTTATATTGTATTCTGTTAAGAAATTATATCAAAAATTATATTTAATTATATTTGGAAAAATCATTATTTATTTTACACGATTTCTGTTAGCTGTTATTATTAATATTGTAATGTACCAGTTATAATAATAATACATAGAACATTATTATTAAATCATGTAACTGCTATTCTCCATTACTACACCGTTGTATTTTAAATTTTGAGTGAAATGTGGAATGTATTGGCTTAAATATGATGTGTTTTATTTTGTGTTTGTGTACACAATTTCAACCAAAATAATAATCACAATTATTAAAGATTTTATATAGAAAATGTTGTCTAGTTGGTATGTTGAAGAGGTTGATTACATAATTTCTCAACAGTTTTTAATAATTGAGAAATACTGACGATAAGTTATAAAAAAAGGCAACATTTATGTACGGTATATTTGACAAAATAAAATATAGGTACGTATATTATTTTTCTTCGTAACTGGAAAAATAATAATCGTAAATCGTTTTGGTTTAAAAAATTATCTTGAGAATTTAACAAACATTTTTTCAAATATATTTATCACTACTTAATGAAAAAAAAAAAAAATTGAAATTATTTTCAAAAACAATTTTATGAGCCCCATGCATACTACGCACATTCACCACAGTAGATTCAACCCAAGTTCACTGGCCATGGTTTCACTCAAGGGCTTGACCTTGCCATCAGTACTAAGATTCGTGAAATACATTTTCATTTTAACTTTGCACCAATTGTAAAATTAAGCAGGTAGCATATATGCAAATGATCGAAATACAGGAGACTGTTTCGCACGTTCTATGACAACATTTTCAATAGGTTTATGCACATGACGCAGAAGTAAAGTACTGGGAGGTAACATAATGGGTTACAGTTCGGGATTGTATCAACTGAAATTTTAGTCATGGACATTATACGAAAATTGAAAGGTTAAACATTTTAGAATTAAACTAACAAGACAATTTTTAAAAAATGTTAACTTTGATAAGCAACATACGTTATCAGAAGAATAAATTTGAGAAAAAAAAATAGGTATATTATACCAATTTTTTTTTGTTAAATATCTTACGTTTTTTTAATAAATATTTTAGCAAAAATAAGAACATAAATATTTACATATTTTGACTTTTTTATTACATAAAAATCTGCACCCTACTTATAATAACATTTTAGTGATTTAAATCGTATATAGATATACATTGATGTAAAGGAAACTTTTTAGTTGGGTCCCGAGATATTTGATTGCTTAAAAAAGCACGATTGGGGTCCGCGGTTCTTTAATAATACTCAAATTGGGTCCATGGTCACATTTGATACTACGTGAATTGGGTCCACGGTAGGCGCGGATCCAGCCTACCATAACGAGAGGGGCGGATTATAAATAAGTATACTCTATGAGTCGGCTGGGGCTGGCCGGCTGACGGTTGTCGTCCATCATACGGTCACAATAATATTGTTTTTATCGACAATTCATTAATTTATGTAATAAAAATAAAAGACGAACATTTGTAATAATAATAGCAATACATGTTATTACGTAAGATAATGCAATTTAATAGTACATCAAATTAAATTAACACAATTTGATACGGCCAACGGGGGGTCACCCCTACTCCCCCCGAAAACGTGCCTGGTCCACGGTTGATTTTATCTTGTTTTTATCATAATTACCCAACTCAAGTTTTCCCAGTGAAAAATGTGCTTTTTAAATTTCTCCGTAATTTAAACTATATAATTATAAATAAACTATTAGTGATAAAAATAAAAATAAATTAAAATTTGATCTAAAATCAATTTAATAATAACTTATTACACAAAAAAAAAATTCTAATTGAATAATAATTTTAACATTTTAATAATGTAATACGGTAACCTTGCGTTTATTTGGTCGACACTGGTGGTGGTTATTTGAAAAAACAGTTAGACATTTTTCCTGACAGAGAACATTTTGGGAGAATATTTTTCAATGAAGCTATTATGTCTTCAAAAAATATTACTCAAGTAAGAATGTTAAAATTATGCAATTTATAAAGTTTTACTTAAAAGAGTTTAAATGACATCAATGTTTCAGGTAGCCGTAGTGATGGAGAGCTGTACGGCAGGCGCTGCTTACTTGCCTACTATGGCTGATGAGAATGTAATTGTGAGAAATATCGGAACAATTTTTCTTGCTGGTCTTCCGTTAATAAAGGCTGCGGCAGGAGAAGTCATGTCTGCCGAGGATTTACGTGGTGCGAAACTTTATTGCTCGTAAGACTTATATTTTTATGTTGAATACAATATCATTTTAAATGATGAAGCGTTAGATATGCGTGTCTTACTAACTTAATAGTTTACAACAGATAATATCATGGAAAAAGCAATGATTTTTTTCGTCAATCGAATAGTGTATTGAATATTACTTTATTCGATGATCAACATTCGATAGTCGTTTGAGAATACGATAGATCGAATATTCTGTGTCGAATGAACTTTTATGATCGAATAGTGTCAATCGAACTATTCTATTCGATCATCACTTTCGATGCGTTTGAGAATAGGCCCCCAGGGCGTGAAGTCGATCAGAATTATTCTGGGCGAGATAATACACGTTTGCATAACAGCCCGGGCCCCGGTAATGACATTAGGACGTGTTACATCATGTTATGAACGAGAAACATCAGTAATTGATCGGACGCGCCGTAGTCTTAATAATATCTGATCGTCGATCAGATAGGTCATATTTTTTCAGGATGTATGTGTGTGTGTGTGTGTGTGTGTGTGTGTGTGTGGAGTATACAATGTACGCATATGTACAGGTGCAACGTGTTTCGAATCCACTGTGGACGGTTTTACGTTATTAAAACGCAACAGGAAAGTACTTATAAAATGTAAAATATACTATTGTTACACAATTATTGTTGTACGTCGAACGGCCGAGCACACTACGTGAAAACGGTAGGAGATATTCGTGTATAGGTATATATTATGTATTATGCACAATTTATTATTACGATAATAAAGTGATTGTCGTTGTCACTTTGAATTCCGATGAGTATTGACCACGGATTATCAACTGGTATGTACCTTACGTACTGTGGTGTATAATCATATAATAACAACGCGATAAATAACGATTACAGCATGATGAACACCTATGTTGTAAGCGTTTTAAAAAAAGTTTTACTTCCAACGTACATTACAAACCCTTTTTTCGTAACTCATCGTTGAACCGTGTCTTATCTTAGTGTGCTTTCAGTTAATTTCTACACAAAATTTCTATAGAAACCAACTACAGTGTAAATGTTGAAACGCGGTGTATCGTGTAATATGTGCTCAATATACAATATATGTGTATGCTCAATAATATGCGCTCTATAGTTAAAAAAAAAAAAAAACAATTAGTAACAATAGTATTTGGAATGTGTTTTAATATTTAATATAACCGCGGGTAAAAACATCTCATTTTAAATGATTTCCAACCACTTGTTACAGGGGCTTAGAGTTGCGAGAGCTTAACTCTCGGCCAAACCGTGGTCTTAGATTTATGATCTGTTGAGTCGATGTGCTTAAAGCGCTCGTATTAAATTTTAAACGGAAAAGGGGTTAGTGGCAAAATGTTTTGACGTGAAACATTCATTAACATGTGATCACTGTAATAAACAGTTAAAATGTCTAGAGGAATGGTTTATAAAATAGCAACGGAATTAATTTGCATACATAAAAAACAAAAATACAATTGGACATCATAATAAAAAGGGCAATCTAATAACATTTTGAACAGATAAATCGTCCAATTAAATAATATTTATACAGTACGGATGAGTTAATTCGTCGTTTTTTTATTTACCAACATTTTATTTCCATTTTACAGCTTCGTAGTAAGCAGAAAATCAGTAATATTATATGTTCATTTATGTAAACGATTAACGAACCGAACACCAATAATATGTTGTATATCAGATTTTGTGGGTTAGAAAAAAAAAAGATTATCCTTCACAAGCAATACTGATTTCACGACAAAACTATTTTGCAGACTAATTAATTGTATGAAAACAAATTACAGTTGTGTTTAAATTGTACCATACACTAATTTGTTTATAATAATCTAATTCGTATTTATAATAAATATTTACGATGTTGATGTGTTACATTAGTAATTGTTCATTAATCTATTTTTGAAATAATTGTTCTAGGTACGATTTGGTTTTATTTCACTACAACAAATAATATGATGTAATATTAACTAAACAAAAATATTATATTAGACACATATAATAATGCGAGAATAGTTGCCACAACAGTTATAATTGTTGTAACAAGCACTATCATTAAGTAGATTATACATTCAACATTAGTTAATTGTCTTCGATAATTTTTAGATGGATCCCTATTGATTAAGATACGTTGATGTAGAGTCATTTTGTCTGTAAGTTATAACTTAAAAGTAAAAGTACGATATAAAACGTAACACATATAAATCATTGAAATCCAATGGTGTTATAAGAATACGATAAGATTAATGAACGTATCTATGATTTAGTTGTTTATCGTTATAAATAACCGACCGTTTACGTTACATTTATACATATACATGTGTATGGATTGTAAAACATCAGAGTTTGTCGTAAACTAATCATGATTTTACGTAATTTTACACGACAATTATACCATGTAAGTATAGTATAAAAGTGATAATTTATGTGTATATGATAAACTGACGAATAAAGCGAAATCATTGAATTAACGGTGATATAGTTTTTTTTTTTTTAATTTATATACGGAGGCATAATCGGCCTTAACGTTTGTCGGTTATCGCGTTATTTGAAAATAATACGACCACGAGAGGGTCAATTTTAAGAATGCCGTCTTAACCAAAACACTACTAAAGGCACCCTTTTAAATCCCCATTAGAGTGCAATAAGGGTGACTTTGCTGTGTATAATAGGAGGGTGAATATAATTTTAATTTTGCCTTACATGACCAATTTATGTTTTATAGGTGTAATGCGTTTGTACAGACCTACTGAAATATTCAAAACGGCCGCGCAAAGAATGCATATTTTACGACATCTACTTGAAGTATATTCAGAATAAAAATGATCGATACAATATGATTTACGAAGTTTATCTTTCAAAATAGACAAATCAATAAAAATCTATTTTAAATACCATAATATAACTTAAATATAATAAATAATTTATTATAGAATGATTATTTTATTTTATTTGCTAAGATGACTTGTTTAAAATCATATAAAGTTATGTAGCTATTGTAACTAACATTTATTTTATTTTTCTAAATCATTATTTTTTAATTAAAAAATTATTATTGGAGTTTGATTGATGTATAACATAAAAACACATAATTATTATTTCATTATCCTTTGATAATCTTTATTTCTATGATTTTATTAAGACACTATGCAGACGTTTAATGTATGTTCATTTAACGGAATCAATAATAATCATCAATTAAATCTAAAACTTGTAATATCTTAATATCTATACAGGTATATAACATAGGCACTGGAACCTTTACAATCTTAAGGGTTTCAGTTTCAGTTCCAGTTTGAGTTTCGGTATTTTAAAATACAAAATTAAGGCTTTTCTTCTGGTTCCGGTGAAAAAAGGTTTTAATTTTTTTTTAACGTGGATAAAAATGTATAATATTCGTTATAATGTAAAATATTCTTCTCCTTCTTCTTCTTTGATAATCTCGGCCACTAGAACCATTAATGTCAAATATTACACATTTCTATTAAAATAATCTGAGTTTCATCAAAATAGTATAACATTATTATAATTATAAAACGTGTGAAGATTTTGCTATCAAATTAAATTTCTGTAAAATTATTTATATTTTGTTTTGTTTTTCATCAAAAACCCTTAAATTAATTAAAAGTAATTATAATTTACATTTGGTTTTATCTATAAAGAAAAATTCCGAAAATGAAATTGCAATTGAAACATAAATAAAAAATATTGTAAGTAAACTTATGCATCACAAAATCATATAATTTTTATAGTATTATGTTAGTTATAATAAAAATTAAAAAAAGATTGTTGCTTGTTAAAATAATAATAGCAAAATAAAATGTTTAAATATTATATTAATGCATAGATTGTTTTTTTAGTTTAGATAAAAAATATATTTGACATGATACTCTTTTAAGTATGGTGAAGCTGTAAACTGTGATATTTGATCATTGTAAGCATTCAAACAAATATAAACAAATTTTATACATTTTATTTGGAATTAAATTAGTACTATGAATTACAATTATATTACTATAGTCATTACATTTTTATAGTATCTTTGGAATCAATTCCTTCAAATAATCTATTGGTCCACACTAATAGTTGATCTTTTAGATTTTTTGAACTTATATTCCTACATCATTTTATTCATATTATATATTAAATGTATACATTTTTCTTTTTTAATGTACAATACATAATATGTACATGCATGATACTCGTATATCATTAGAATCAAAAAAAATCTTTTAAAACTGTCAAAAAACTCCTTTGATCGAAGTTCTGGTTCCGGTTTGAGTTTTTTAAAATTTGAGTTGAAAGTTCTTTAAAGGTTAAGATTTCATAATTTTTCGGAATATAATTAGTTTAACCCAGAAAAAAATCCACTGGACACAGTTCCGTACTTAGGACATAACTCGTTTGCTATCATTTGGCCAAGGTTCCTGTTCTAGAACCAATTGTTTTCAGTTTAGTTCCAGTTCCCGGTATAACATACCAAATAATGATAATAACGTATAAACAACGTTTAGCTGTACAATCGAATGATTTTATATCATTAATTGATATTATATACATGAATAACCCGTGTGATTTACTGCTTTTTACTTTTTTTTTAAAACACTATATACCAACTTTACTTCACCAATAGGGTTTCAAATATCTCATAAAGCTCCAACATTTTTTAAAAAATCGATAGTTTAATTTTTACTTATAATTGTAAACTTCTACAATGTATAAAAATATTATTTCATGTTTGCTAATATACAACAATAACGCAAAAAATACTTATATGATTAGAGATTGCCTTGAGATTTATAGTTTCTTGATAATGAATTAGATATCAATATTAAATCTCCTTTTTTATATATTTTTAAGATTCTAATCGATTAATCGATTTTAATAAAATTTGTAGATCCGTGATGTAACTATTTTCGGCTAGATTGCCAACAGAAAAGCCATAACTATAAACTCCATTTATTTTCAAAGTTAACAGTTCATAATTTTTTTTTTTTTT